CTGAGCTGGGGCGCCCGAGGAGCCCGCTGCCTTCGTGCCGGGCAGGGGCCTCGGTCCTTCCCGACGGAGGCCAGGGCGGTGCCCACGTCACAGGCGCGGAGCCTGCCCCGGGGGCTGCCAGGGCGCTGGAGAGGGGGGCTCGGGCAGGGTGTCGCCAGGGCCCCAAGTGGGCAGTTGCGTGACCGCGAGCCTGCCCCGGGCAGGATGTCCTCAAGGAACGCTGCGGTTTTGCGGACTCCACCCCTCCCCGCCCTTGGCTGTTTCCAGTTGGGTCTGACAGGCCCAGGGACTTTCCTGACACCCAGGATGGGCCCGGCCCCTTGCTGGAGGCTCCTTGGGGCTCCGCCACAGCCTGTTCCTACTGAGGACTGAAGACAGCGATGAATGGGGCCCTGGGGCGGCATGGTGTTGCCTTCATGGCCTGAGCTCTCCCCATGGATGCTCTGGGGTGTCCGGCCAGTAGTGGGTTGTGGTTAATAAGAGCGAGAAAGCTCATGGTGTCCTGTGTCCCCGTCTTGACAGGACAGCGTGACCTTTGAGGACATTTCTCTGTATTTCTCCTTGGAAGAGTGGGGTCTTCTAGATCAGGCCCAGAAGGACCTGTACCACCACGTGATGCTGGAGAACTCCGCCCTCATTTCCTCGCTGGGTAAGCTCACCCCCCAGTGACCTGGGCTCCACTCCTCAGCCCTCTCTGCTGGGGGTCCGGAGGTCCCAGCAAGTGAACTGAGGCACTGCTGGCTCCCCAGCGCTCTGGGGAGCGCTGCCCTTGACTGAGTTGGGTTTTTCCCCACTGCCTTCTCTCATCGATGCGCCCCCATACCTGTGTGCCAAAGCTGCGTAAAGACACAGTAGAGACCTTAGTCTACACGCATCTGTGGGGTAGCATCTTGCTTGCGCTTTCCCACTGGTTGCTGAGTCCAGGTCCTTCTCACTCTTTGCCAAGACTGACTCCATCTCTAGCTGGCGCGTGCCCAAGACCTACCTGTGGTGGTATTGAAAGAATAAGTCACATTTGACGTGTGCCATGAGGTGGCGATGTCTGCATATGTGTAATATTCAGTATACTCGTTGCATGCTACCTCTTAAACGTAGTTTTCTTTTACATAGCAGAGCTGGGTGCAGGCCAGGGGTGTGGGGGGGAGGTTCAGAGGATTCCCAGAGACAGTGGGGAGCAAAACAGGCAGATTCACTAAAACACACTGCTGAGGGGGCAGCGGGGAGACAGGAGGGCTCTGCTGCACCCTGAGGGTCACTCCCTGTCCAGGATGGACTCAGGCCGCAGTGGCTGCCAGAGCTTCGTAGTGCTGAGACTTTAACTCTGCACCCCCAGGGAGGGCCTGGATTTATTTTTGTTTGCTCTAGCACACTGATTATTGTTTATTTTTAATTGCAATAATTTATTGTTGTTGATGCATTAAAGATTATTGAAAGTCCAGTGTTAGAAGGAATTTTTATGTTTTTCTCTATTTTTCTCAGAAATGCTTTAGGGATTTGTGGCCTTTTATAGCCTATGTAAATTTTAATATCTTGTTAATTTACTTGAATAATGTTAGCTTCATGGACATTGCTTTAAATTTTTATATTGTTTTCATTGGAATTTTTTTAATGTATAGTTCCTTCTCACAGAGACATTTTCTCTTTCCTGCTTTTACCATCCTCATATCCTTTACTGACTAGTCAGTTTCCTACCAAGTTAATTCTTCTCTCCCCTTTCTGGTTTTCACATCTTGTCCATTTCTCTTGTAGCTTTCTCTACAGCCCTGACACTTTGTTCACACATGCTATAGGACTTGAGTGTTACTTAAATAAGCCTTAAACAGCAACTATTCTACCTCTCTTGTTTATTTCTGATACAGTATTTTGCTTTACTTCAGGCAGCCAGCTGCAAATGTCAGGCAGGTGTCCCATGGCAGAGGAAGAATTGTGGAACTTGCCTCCCTTCCTGCATTCCACAGTACCTTGAATCCTTCCCTGTAACGTCTTCACCACATTTTCCTGTGGGCCTAGTAAGGTCCGGTAGCTTCTTCCCCAGCCAGACTCTAACTCCATCTGGAAGAGCACCCCACAGGCGTGTTCTTACAAGTGACAGGTGAACACGTGATTGAGGTGTCCACTCCTTGTAAAGTCAGCGTGTTCTTCACAGTGTTTCTGTGTATTCAGGTTGTTGCTGTGGAGAAGAGAATGTGGAGACACCTTTTGAACAGAGCACTTCTGTAGGAATGTCACAGGCCAGCACTTCTAAGCCTACCTCCTCTTCCCAGAACACCCACTCCCGTGAGATCTGTAATCATGTCTGGAGAGACATTTTTCACATGACAAAGCCCCTGGAGACACAGAACAACTGGAAGTTGTTGGGGTGTAGGATATGTATGAAACAACTTACATCTGAAGCAAACCTCCAGAAACCCCAAAAGGATGATTTGGGAAACACATTTTTGAGAAGTAACAGGGATGTGGCCAGTTGTGAAAGGTCATATGCATGTAGTGAGTGTGGGAAATCTTTCAGCCAAAGCACCGCACTTCTTCAGCATCAGAGAATTCACAGGGGAGAAAGACATTATGTGTGCAGTGAATGTGGGAAATTATTCACCCAAAAGTCCTACCTTCTTATACACATGAGGATACACACAGGAGATAGGCCTTATAATTGCAGTGACTGTGGAAAATCATTTATCAGTTGTTCTAACCTCCGCTATCACCAAATACTTCACACTGGAAAAAGATCCCATGTTTGCAGTGAGTGTGGGAAATCTTTCACCTATAAGGCCGGACTCCATCGACACCAGCGACTTCATACAGGAGAACGGCCGTATGTGTGCAGTGAGTGTGGGAAATCCTTTACCCAGAAGTCAGTACTCCAGCAACACCAGAGACTTCACACTGGAGAGAGACCTTTTGAGTGCACTGAATGTGGAAAGTCGTTTATAGGGAGATTTCAAGTCATTGTACACCAGAGGGTTCACACAGGGGAAAGGCCTTACGAGTGTGGGGAATGCGGAAGAACTTTCACCTATAAGATAGGGCTCCAGCGGCACCAGAGGCATCACACAGGAGAAAGGCCATACGTGTGCAGTGAGTGTGGGAAATCTTTTGCCCAGAAAGCAGGTCTTCAGCAACACCAGAGACTTCACACCGGAGAGAGACCTTTTGAGTGCACTGAATGTGGGAAGGCCTTTATAGGAAGGTACCACTATGTTGTACACCAGCGGGTTCACACTGGAGAAAGTCCTTACGAGTGTGGGGAATGTGGGAAATCCTTCACCTCGAGCTCTTCCCTCCGTGGTCACAAGAGGGTTCACACAGGAGAGCGGCCTTACCAGTGCAGTGAATGTGGGAAGTCTTTTGCCTGCAGCTCTACACTTCGTGGTCATAAGAGAGTTCACACGGGCGAAAGGCCTTATGAGTGTACTGAATGCGGAAAATTTTTTACCCATATCTCATCACTCAATCAGCACAAGAGGATTCACACAAGAGAGAGACCTCATCAGTGCAGTGAATGTGGAAAATTCTTTAAAGAAAAAATTCATCTCAAACTACACCAGCGTTCACACAGGAGGAAGGCACTGGGGGTGCAGTGAGTGTGGGGAATCTTCCATGCAATGCTCTGCCTTCTGTCACCATCAGTCACTTCAACTGGATCAGGGTCTTTGGATCATAGTGAATGCGGAACGTGCTTGGCTAAGTGCTACTTTCTCATTAAATGTGCGGCTGTCCACTTCAGCAGGTATGCTGATGTAACCGATACTCCTGTTCAGTTCCGTGTAACACCACATTATTCACGAGGGTGATGGTCTTCTAGTTGCTGAATGTGGGGGATCCTCTAGCCAGCGCTGTCCTCATTACACACTGTGGGGACAGGTCTTACTTGTGCATGAGGATAAAAAGGCTATCAGTCTTGGCCCATCTAAAACCACAAAGTTCACATCAGGAAAGAAATGTAGAGGAAATGATTGATTTTGTTTTCATGATAGCCTAAGCATTCGGATAACACTCAGAATTTTTTCTATTCTCCATTTATTTGGTAAATGTCTTCATAGCTATTTCTAATTTCACTATGAACTTCCATCTTTATCAGAATTGTATGTCAGAATTTCACTTTCTGGAATACATCAGCAATATCTTTCCTGAGTACAAAATTGTTTTCATTTCTGAAGAGCATACCATTTTTTTAAAAAAATACTTTTTATGCTCTACACTATATCATGTGCACATTTACCATACATTTTTAATATTAAACTGCTTTTTATACAGTCTCTTTCTTAGTTCAGTACCTTTAATAATGTGATACAATCTTGCTGCATGCTGCTTGCTTACTTCCTTTATTTATCAAAGGTTTGTTGTAGTGGATGAGGGGTAAGAGGACATCAGGATGGACTGGATATTGAAAGCTAGGACAGGAGGCAAAGAAGAGGGCCGTGATCAGTCTCCTGTCGCTTTGGGTCAAGGGACCTATATTGGATCCCCATTCTCCATCATGGGATTTCCTAAGGAATATCTACACTGAACCAAGTTTGTCCTCCATAAACGGGGCTAGGAGTGACCTGTCCCTAGGCCACTGAGACATGTAAAGAGGTGACACATCCAGCTGTTTTGTCGCTTCTTCACCCAAAGGCTCCACCTAAAATGTCAACCTGGAATTTTCAGAGGAAGGTGGGAACTGCAAAGTCTTTCATCATCAGGTGGATTTCCCCACAGTGACATCGGGGGTGCCTTACTACATGTGTGAGCAGAACGGTTGGCGATGACACACAGGTAATGACGTTACTTGTGTAATATTTTGAGACTCAGTAACATCAAAACACATAGGGTCGGGGGGGTGGCAACATTTACGACTTGGTTTTTGCAAATAAGCATTTCACTTGCCAGCACTGCCTGGATGGTGGAACTGTTTAATTGTATTTTGGTGAAAACGGATAGTGAGAAAGTGAAGTCACAAAATTGCAGTGTGTTTTTCACATTCATGCAGCAGTAAAGTCCTATTCTGGAGGCTGGCTTCGCTACCTGAGTCACACCCCATGGTAGGCCTGTTGAATGGCGTTCGTGGGCAACGCATTTACCCAGAGTGCATCAGATTCCAGGGGGAGATGCTCATGGTGTGTATTGCGGGGAGGATTCCTGGAAGGGTCATGAGTGGAACCAGCATAGTCTACTGTGAGCTGATGCAGCACATGTGTGATGGGGAGCACATGCTGGAGAAGCTGTAAGTACTATGGATGTTGGGTGATTTGTAAGCACCTGCCTGGGGAGCAGCTGTTCATGCCACGTGAACCCCCACTAGCACGAGGAAGCAGACTCCCCTACTCAGCCTTGCTCTGGTCCCACAGAAAGCTCTGAATCTGCGACTGAGAGGCAGTCAGGCAAATCTGAAACCCACTGCTGAGGGGGCAGCGGGCATGTCAGGAGGGGTCTGTTTCGCTCTGTGGGTCACTCCCCGGCCAGGGATGGACTCAGGCCACAGTGGCTGGAGGTAGCTCCATAGTGCTGTGCTTGAACCCATTGGGCCACCAGGGAGGGCCCAATCTCCAGATCACTGCAAACCACTGTGACACTCTCTAATTTGCAGCTTTATTGTAGTGATGTCTTTTCCCACCATCCAGCATTACTGGGCATCCATGACCCCTTCCCAGCTTGGGGATGAAAGGGTGTTCAGATCACTCCTCCGCATACAACACTCTGCCTGAGATCAGTGATGCTTTGTCCCACCGAGAGAGAATGCCGTTGCTCTGCATTTGTGATAGACACAGATTTCTAAAGGGACTGAATATGATTGTCACTGAGTGAGAAGCCCCAGATAGCCGGGCAGCGTTGTTTTATGAGTATGCCACCAGTCAGGGCCAGAGGGTCACGGGGCACGACAGGTGGCAATTCCTCTTAAACATGCCCCGAATGACTCAAATACTGACTGACAGAGTGAGAAAAGTAAGAGCACTTGCTGCATGGGTGTCACATCATTATGTTCGGGGGTGAATTTTGTGTGATTCACACGCGTGTCTGGATTGGTGGCCTTGGGAAAACTCGAACTAGTTGTCATGTTTGGGGGATTCAACTTCTGTGGCGTACGATTCAAGGACGTGTTCGACTGCTGACAGTAAGTGATGGCAGCTTTCCCCTTCCTAGGAGGCAGTCAATGCCTTCCAGTGGGTTCCTTGTGGCGGTAGCTGAGGAAACTACACTACCCAGAGGGCACTGCGCCAGAGTGGGCGGTGTGAGCCAATCAGAGCCCCGGGGTGGGCGCCTGCGTGCGTGCGGGACTTCCGGTGCCATCCCGGAGACGGCCGT